TACGCACTAGTAGGGGTTAAAATAAATCACGCGTTTAAACGTACGTTTTCGTTATTTTAGAGCTGCCGAGGGTAAAGACAATCAAAAAATGTACAGCATAAATAACGATAAAAATCATAATCAAACTTAGCTTTTATTTGTCAATTAAATTGACCAAATTAAACGGTACGAAACATTGTGAAAGTCATTCACTTTTTAGGTAAACAAAAAATAAACAAATAAATAAATGCTTAACTCGTATAAAAAAAATTGAACGGTAACTTTTCATAAACTTAACATTAAACAAACTAAATATTAATGAAATTAACTAAACTCTAAACACAGCTTTAAACTAGCTTTTTATTTTGGTAAAAATTGTTCTTATTTAATTTTATGTGGCAAGTTGGTCTTGTGTTTTATTTAATTGGAAACTAATAGTAAATATGGAAAGGGAGAAAGCCAAAAAGTAGGTAGAGGGGGGGGGGGTGAGCCGCCAACTGTCCCTGAACTACTTTGTATAATTTTAAACCAAACTTCTATGTAGAAAATATTATTTCGTTAAAATGTTTATTTCCGACAGGGATATTATAAGCTTATATCGTCATAGTTACGCTATCAATAAAGAGGGTCATAACTCCCTTGGGACATTATAGATTCTATAATTCCCTCTACCTTATAATCAACGGTACCTGATTCAAATATACCGGGAAGGTAATAAATTGGTACATTTTTTCCGTTTTAAAAATGATCAAAATTTTATCTAAATCTGTCAGAAATTAAATTATCTATGTACCACGGGAATAAATGGGCCTTAATGAGCTCAGGCAATTGCTGTCCCTCGGGCCAACTTTGCCATCGGTAATTAAGGCCCTTATAATTCCCTTAATACATAAATAACTATTCTAACATACCTATGACATACACTGATTCATGCCTGGGGTTTATTGGTTACTATATTAATATTTTGAAGCAAATGAAGTATTGAAAATATATACATTAGATTCGTCTATACTAGAAATTATGTACTAATTTTATCTAGCGTTGTAACGGCGTCGATTTAGGTACGTCGCAGCGTTGAGCGTCGCCTTGCGTCAAGGCGCCTAGCGTCGTGGTGGAGAGGAAGCTATTTATTACGGTACTGTGTCAGGACAGATATACGGTAGAAAATACTTG